AAAAAAAAAAAAATTTGCTGAAAAGGTTTGTGAAATATGTCACAGGTGTTCTGTCTAGAGCACCGAAGTTACAACAAACATCATTGTCCAAAAGCCAATAAAAATGATGTTACTGTCGTCGTCTGCCCACTCTGTGCAAAAGGGGTTAATCTGGTTTCTGATGTTGACCCAAATATTACTTGGGAGGCACATGTTAATACTGATTGTGATCCATCAAACTACGAGAAAGTCACAAAGAAGAGAAAATGCCCTGTCCCCCGTTGTAGAGAGATCCTAACATTCTCAAATACAATCAGATGCCGAGACTGTACTGTGGAACACTGTTTGAAGCATCGGTTTGGACCTGATCACCAATGTCCTGGTCCTAAAAGACCGAACACAGCTTTCCAGTTTATGGGTTTTTTGAACAGGAGTAGAAAAGAAGACTCGAAAGCAAACCAAGCTCCGGCTTCATCTTCATCCAAGTGGGCTACAAGCTTCCTCAAGGCAGCTTCATCTGTTCGAGCAACAGCTGAAGCCGGAATGTCAAAACTGAGTAGTGAATTTAGCCAAGCGTTGCAGGTGGGGCAAAGTGGCAGCAGCAGTAACAAAAGTAGCAGTGGAAGTGAGCAAGTGGAGCAGTGTCCGCAGTGCAATGCAAAGTTCTCTTCAGTTACATCTCTAGTTGATCATGTGGAGAGGGTCCATGAAAGGACTGGTGTTCTGAAGGTGACACTCGATGTCTGCCCCAAATGTAGTAGAGGTTTTCGTGATCCAGTGTCCCTTGTGGAGCATCTTGAGAGGGACCATGGAGGCACTTCCAAAGCTTAAAGAGTGGAAAGACTGTCGAAATAGGTTATTTTGTTCCCTCATACTCATGGAGCTGTTATTTATTTTCTATTGCTCATTGCTTCCATTGTTCAATGCTTGTGAAATTGGAAATAACATTTAAAAGCATCCAATCATAATATCGAAATTCTTGAATTATATTTTTTATACCAAATCGGTTTGTGAATGAATATTAATCTTATGGTAAAAGCTAAATTAAGTTTCTTTGTCCTTAACTTTTGTCACATGTTGTCCTAGTTGTTCATAACCTGTAGGAACCCACACAGAGCAGACCTTGTACAAGCTGTAGGTTCTTGGGTAACAGAAAACTAGCGCAGCCGATTTAGTCCCTCTACTTTCTGTCTATGATATGAAACCCTCAGACATTGAAGATGCACTCCATTTTTTTTCTTTTTATAAAGGGTGCAACACTAGGAAAAGTGATCTAACTAAGCAGTTTTGATGGAATCAGGTGCATTAGAGATAATAATAAAAAGTTATTCTAGCATGTCAGCAAAAGATATACTTGGCTGAACCCCATCATCACTGAACTTGTTATGACTAAATTTATACCGAATAAATTCGTGTTATACAGTATTTCTTATATTCATATCTTCTTCTTTATACTTTGACTCAATTTTGCTCAATAGTAAATCGTTCATCATGTATAGGTGAAGGATTCACTTATAAATAGTGGGTCCGACATGAATTTAAGTAAGTGAAAGGAAATTGTGTGAAAATATAAATTCCATCCTAGTATGTACCCTCTCTCGCCACAAAATGAAGGGCCCCTCGAACATAAATTAGTGTGACAAAAGTAGAGTCACTGTCAACTAAACATAAAGAGCTGCACAGGATGCAAAAAAAGAGACAGCCGTGTTCAATGGGAATGTGAAGGAAGTCGAGACTGACCCGGCTACCCAAACGGAGCAGTGCAGAAGACCCGTTATTGATGCCACTGGAGGGTTCACTATCACTGCTGGATTCGAGACTGCTTTGGCTTGCGATCTTTTGGTTGCTTCCAAAGATGCTAAGTTCATGGATACTCGTGTTAGGTTTGTTCACTTTGTTTTTTTGTTTATTATTTTTCAGACTCGATTTAGATAAAACCAAATACACTCGCACACTCATAAAAAAGAACACACACGCATATATATACTAGTAATATAAGACATGTGCAGTGTGGTACACATCAACAAATTAAATAATATTTTTTATAAAAAAATATAAATTATATGTCTAATTAAATCAAATAATAAATTAGTTGTCAAATAATTAATTTATATTTTAATTTTTTATTTATTCTATAAGTTTCTGAGTACCTAGGTCTCTCTCTGACTTCTTTTAGTATTTGCACATCTAATTATATTATAAAATTATTAATTTTTTATTTTGTTAAATAGACTAATTAGATAGTTTATAATATTATTACATATTAAAATATAATATAACATATAGAATTCAATTTAGTAACTACATGTAATTTAACATGTATAGGATTTTATTTCTTTCTATAGATATAAGAGATTGTATGTAACTGTATTACTGATAAATATGTTTAAAAGAATTTAAAAATTTTTATAAAAGAATCTTAAACAAATTGAAAGTCAAATAAGAATAAAAAAATAAAAATTAAATAAAAGTATAAACATTGGTATTATTGACTTTATATAATAATTAGAGATAATGATGCTTAAACTTAAATTGTTGATTTAATTTACTTATTTGATCGATCGCTATCTTCAATTTAACTGTCATTGATTCATGGAAATGGAAATTCACTACTTACTACCTTTAATAATTGCAATTGACCAAATCAGCAAATTAAATTATTATTTTAATTTAAAACAAAAAATTTTCATTTTTAAATTGACAATTAATTTAATTAAATCCCCAATATAAGAGTAATATTCTAAATGTGAAGGGGTCCAAATGATTAAGTAACAAGCATGAAAGGATCTAGGTATAATTTATCAATGTAGTTTTATGTGCACATTGATACACATGTCTATCTTTGATGGTGTAAATTGATATTTTTTATTTTTGAGAGTACACATTGATACAAATTTTTATCTTTGAGAGTACAAATTAATATTTTTGATCTTTAAGGAGTACAAATTGAGATTCGAATTATCTTTCGAGGTAGAACTTGCAATTAATCCAATTTTAAAAAAAAGTAATGTGTTTACTAAAACAACAATACTACGTAGACTTAAAAAATATATTTAATAATTTCAATCATTAATTTTACTGTGAGTTTCAGTATTTATTGAGACCCACTATCTATTCAATGATTAAGATTATCGATTATAATTTTTAACTTAGTTTTTAAATCCATCTCTTACTAAAATTTTGGTGATAATTGTGGACCCACTGACCTTTTGCTTGACATTAATAAACCTAACAAAATAGGGAGAGAGAAACCGACATTGGTAAACCTAATATATGGAGAGAGAACTCGGATCGAGATTTGATGATTGAGATTGAAGATACCCAAAGTGAGAGGCAAATAGGGGAGCGATGGCGAACAAGGAAATAAGAGTTAGCAGCGCCGGCGGCGGAGGTGATGGAGTTTCGGCGCTCCCCCTTCGTGACATGGTGTTCGAAGTGCTCACAAGGCTTCCGGTCAAGTCTCTGATGCGATTTAAGTGCGTGTCAAAGTTCTGGTGCTCAATCATCGGCGACCCTCTCTTTTCGAAGGCTCACAGGTCTGCCAGCGGCCTCCTGACCATATGCCCGAAGAATCAACTACTCCGAGTCTGCTCACTTCCGATTTCAAACTGAGACTCAGAGTGCCCGTGATTTGTGATGGAGTTACGCAAGTCATCAATGGCCTCCTTTGTTTCTATGTCGGTAATCGCGCCACCCTTTGGAATATCTCAACCCTCGAAATGATGAAGCTTCCATTTTCTAATATTCGATCATTCCCAACGGGTAATTATTATTTCGGGTTCCATTCTTCTATGCTCGACTTTCCACTTCTCCAATAATAGTTCGGATGTTACTTGCGTGCGAAATTCTCACTTTGGGCAAGGACGCATCGTTGGGCAAGGACGCATCGTGGAGAAGCATTGAAGCTCCGCCCCATAAGTTATGCACACCAAGTGTTTGTGTTCATGGCGCTCTGTTTTGGTTACATCCGTCAAGCAATGGGTATTCCATCAGTCTTTTCGATGTCAAAGAGGAGAGCTTTCAAGTAATTCTGCCACCAAGGACCTTGAAACGCTATGATTTACTACTACAATTTGGAGGCCATCTTGCTGTGGCTGGTTATCATTTTCGGCAGAGTTTAGACCTCTGGGTGTTGGAGAATTATGAAGGACAGTCACAGTCACAGTCATGGACCAAACACCTCATTGACCTTCCATTTGATTTGGCTGACAAGGGATATTGGTTTCCGGCTGGGAACCTCGTTACTGACTGGTGGAGTGATTAAGTCATGCATGCCTGTCTATTCGTATGATCACGCTAAAGACAAGTTTGAAGAGCTTGTAATTGGCAGGTTCGGACCATCCCCATCTATAGTCGGAAAGGGAACGGATTTTTTTCAAATGTACTACTATGAGGAAAATATTGTACCATTGAGTGAATTTGAATTGTCAAGAGCAGGGGCAGATTTGCAGTGGGTGCAGCCTGGAATTTGAAAAAATATTGGGGTTTGTTGAAATTTTTTGAAATTTTAGAATTTGTTAAAAATTGCCCCACTGAAACACTTTAAAACTTAAGAGTAGTAACGTAGATTTTCAAACATGTGGGTTCCTTTAAACGTTAGCTAAAGTAAAAAGTTACTTTATTCCGTCCGTCTTCTTTGTGATCTTTCTCTCTTCGACGTCCATAGATCCTTAGACTCTCTCTTTGTTCTAGCTCTACACTCTAGACATTCGTTCTCCTCAATTTTTTACTCCCTCTTTGGTGGTACCTCTCTATTCTCTACTTCAATTATTATTGCAAGATGTATTGGGATGATAGCTTAGAAGAATGGGAGTTTAGGAGATTTTTTCAAAGTTTTCAAATAATTAGATTTTTATATTTGGAACTTATGTGTTATAAATTATTTTTTGGATTAAATCATTTGGATTGATTAGGCTTGAGTAAATTGATTGTAATGAATTAAGTTATTCCTATATCTAAGATTGATTTAGTTAAATTTTTTTTGACCCTAGATTGATTTAATTGACTCGTGGTAGATTTGATTTTTCTAAATTATTTTTGTTAAAAATTGTTTAATTTTTTTAAACTATTTTGATGTATTCTGCATGAATAATGCATACTAAGTTGTGTCTGACTAAAGAGATTAATTTTTTAATCAATTATTGATAAAAAGTTTTTGTCAGATTCTATAGATGATAACTTCATAATTTTTTTTTTTGTTGATTTTTTTGTATTTCTCTCGTATATGAAGGTTGTGTCTTTAATTGATGTTCTTCTAATGAAACAATTCTTTGGTGAAAAAATTGTCAACATTTGGAGTTAAATATTTATATGTTTAAGGGTGCCCCCCGCGNAATTGATGTTCTTTTAATGAAACAATTCTTTGGTGAAAAAATTGTCAACATTTGGAGTTAAATATTTATATGTTTAAGGGTGCCCCCCGCGCAGGCGGGAACCCTTTAGCTTTGTTCTAACCCAAATGTTAGCATTGCTCTTCATGAATTTTGAACTTTTTTTTGTTTACATCTTTTAATGTTAGTTAAATGTTATTAGGTATTCAAAATAGAAGTTGTATAATATTATAGGTTTGGGAATTACACTTTAATTGGCTCCTATAACTGTAGACTCAATTTTACTTTATCCTTTAAGAATATTTCTCATTACTTGTTAAACTATTTTATTCTCTATCTTTTGGATAGAAATTTTCAAATGTGTCGGGGGAAANTAATTACACTTTAATTGGCTCCTATAACTGTAGACTCAATTTTACTTTATCCTTATAAGAATATTTCTCATTACTTCTTAAACTATTTTATTCTCTATCTTTTGGATAGAAATTTTCAAATGTGTCGGGGGAAAGTGAAACAAAACACATAGTTCAGGAAGTAAAATGAAACAAAACTCTTCATCAAATTACAACAGTGACATAGTTTAAGGTGCAATCTAAGAAACATGAAAGTTGAGGGGGCAATGTAAGAAAAGTGTTATAGTTCAAGGGGGTTAAAGTGTAGTTTGCCCTATTGCTTTTGTTTATACGCTCTGAAAATTTGGTGAGCAGAATTGTTTTGTGTACATGTACCGATGAATTTGGAATGGATAACAAGACTTGCACTGTATTATGACTAATCAAAATTTATCCCAAGTTCGCTGTTAAACTTGCAATGAGATTAGTATCTTTTTGTTAAATTTGATTTAATCAATGCACTTATCTTTTAACAGATAAGATTTCAATTTATAATTTTATCTTAAAAATTCATTGGGGTTGAAAAATGATCACCAATTTTATTTGAGCAAATATAGTTCACTATTGGGCATTCGTCTTAATTTTGATTAGTTGAGTCTGGCAATTGATTACTATGGTGCAAGGATGTAGTGGTTCTTGATGTGGTAGATGGGTAGTGCTTGTAATGGTAGTCAATTGGTTTTTAGGAGAAAGAGAAAAGGGAAGAGGAAGGAAAAATTGCATTGTTGTTGTTCTTGAGGATGAGGAGAGAAGCTTGGGAAAGAGAACGAGGGGGAGATCAGAGCAAGTGATAGAGCTTGAGATAAAAGGTGTTTGGGTTTTTTTTTTTTTTTGCGAGAAGTTAAATAGACTTGGCTTGGGATTGTTCGTTTTTTGGTCAGTTGGCTTGGGAGTGTTGGTGATTGAGTGAACATTAGGATGGTAAATAGGGTTTCGAGGTGGGGTGGGGGTGGGGAGAGGGGGCTGTGGGAGGTGACAGAGGGACTGAGGGGTGGGATCGGGGTTTAAACGGGGACTATGCATGATGGATGTAAGTGAGAGGGGTTTTCTTTGAATTGTAAAGATTGGGTTGAAATTATCTCACAGTTTGAAACTCAATACAAAATGGTTTTCTTTTAAGTAAAAGGATTTTTCTATGACACTAGGTTTGACTATTAGTCTTACCAATGCCTGTTACAAATGTCAATAGGCTCTTGTGTTTTAGGTAATCTTCATAAGATAGTGATTGCCTACCCCCCTGTTTGTTCAAGATGGTTTCTGAGATGATTTGGTTTGTCCTGCTTGAGCTTGTTTCCTATTCCGTGATAATTATGTATGTTGACAATATAAGCGTAGAATTGGGTTGAAGGAGTAGTTTGGTGGAATGGGTTTTGAAAGTATAAGAGAGGGGACGGGCTTGCACTGATTAGGATCTGGTGAGTCGGGTAGTAGTGGGTTGATTGGGGTTGATCTTTGGTTTGTGGTTATGATGCTGGTTTTTGTTTTGGGTCAACCTTAGCTCTGTAATTATCTTCCACGAAGAACCTGACACCAGGGTGTGAGTGCAATGCATCACTTAAGGAGTATGGCCTAGAATTTACCCATATATTCTTGAGATTCATATTCCTACTAGATGTGACAAAGTATTATACTAGCTTTTAGCTATCCAAGGTAATGATTCTCCTTTAACCCAGCTTGTGATTAAATGCGTAAAAGATAGACACTAAAACATGACACAAGCAGAGTTTTACAAAACCCAAAAGCTAAAGCTCGAAATACTAATATGGTTAAATCCAAATACAACGAAAAGCTTTTTGTCTAATGACTAATTCCTTTGAGATTTATACGATAATGGCTTATTGGCTTTAAGTATGTCGTAAATAGTTGTTTTATTTTTTGCATTATTGGTGTGTAAAAAATGTGTGTGTTCTAGATCGTAGAATCATATAAGTCGTTCCATCATTTGCATTCTCAAACATAGTTGTTGGTTTTCGCTTATTTACAACATTAAAGAGTCCAATACTTGATATTAACTGCAACAATGTAAAGTTCAATTGTATGTTAAGCCCAAAACATAAGCTGGATGCAAAAAACATCTGACCAGACAAGAGTATATATATCCGTGCTCATCCAAAACTATAAAAAAAAATGGCAATTACCGTAGCCACCTCCAAAGAAGCAACTGATTTTACATGTAATGCGCTCTTTCAGGGATTGGCTGATGATTTTATATGTCCCTTTCTTTAATGGTTGTATTTTTATCTTCCTTGTCCCTTTCTTTGGGGGTTCTATTCTACTATCATTTTGGGCTTGTGATTCATTCAAATTTTAACTATAACAGTGGTATATTATGTTGCTTGTGCGATGCACAAAACTTACAATTCTCATCACGCTTATTCCAAAAAGTGAAGATCCCAAATCCTTTTCTGAGTTTAGGCCAATTAGTGTATGCAATTTCTTTTATAAAGTGCACACGAAATTGCCAGATATGCGTTTAAACAAGTTGTTGCCGAAGAATGTTTCAAGCGAGCAACATGGGTTTGTAGAAGGGAGGAATATTGGAGAATGCATATCTTTAGCTCAGCTAATGGTTAGCGAATTGGATCTGATGATGTTCCTAACACAATTGAGCATAAATGTGAATATAAAGTGTATTGAACAATTTGACATAGTTCAGTCTGAACTCTAGAGTTCTAGGGAATAGGATTTGGGAATAAGTGGGTGATTACACAGTGTTTATAGTGGTTCATCAGTTCGGGAGTTCGGCTAATCCACTCTCAAGGGAGTCTCTTGCTCCTAAATGTACTGATTACAGTTTAAAGTTTACAGAGTGTTTTGTTGAGGCTACAATGGCTTGTCTTTTACTTTCGAGGGTTTTGCCTCCTATTTATAGTTATTCCTAGATCTTATTTGATCTGAGGTGAGATCTTTGTCCCCTCTCTTGTAACGGTCATCCTTATTGTGCAACGAGACTTGTACCTACTGAGTAGATGTTGCTATAAAAAAAGGGGTACTCGGTGGATCCAACTGTCCTTTACACCGCCTTCTTCGAGATGTAGACATAGGGAGTTGAGATCTGGGCTTGAGGTCTGTAAATAATATATATGAGCGGAGCTCCCGACCTGAGTAGCCTGATCTGAGTTATTGAACTCAACTTTAGATATTTTTGTGGTACCATTAGGATCGAAAGATTTTTGAAAAGAGAATACGATTCTCCTCAAGCTGGACATGATGAAATCCCTTATAGTAGTTCTTAAAAGGTTTGGCTTTTCTCAATCTTCTGTTCAGATCATTATGTACTGCTTAAGTAACCAATATTTCTCTATTTGTACTAATGGAAGTTGATGACGATATTCAAGTCTTCAAAAGGATCAAGGCAAAGGGATCTTAATCAGCCACTTGTTATTTGCCAATGACACGATCTTTCTGAAGGGAGACAAAAGGTCAGTGGAGAATCTTTTCAAGTTTATTACAGTTTATGAGACATCTTCAGGCCAGAAGGTAAACAGGGCAGAGAGTGCGATGTTTGTGTCTTGGAAAATATGTGTCTAGGAGACATGTGT